AATTTATCTTAGTGTAATATATAAAATTTTATTAAATGGGTATAACATATAAATTTTTTAGATTGATAATTTGAGAGTGAAAAACGTTATCTTGTTCCGATGTTGATGTGACTACTGACTATCTTTACTTGTTACGCAAAAAAAGGTTATGATTAATTTTGCATTTTATATTTGACTCAAACAAAATTAACAATAAACGTAAAAATAAAATTGTATTTGCTTTTCTCCATGACGTGGTCATTGAGAAACAAGTTGACTCTCTATAGGGGGAATGAAAACAATGAACTACGACAAAATTTTATTTAAAATTTGAAGCAACTTATCACCCATTGGCTTAGAGCTAGCTACCATTGTAAATTCCACAAATTCTGAACTATTGTGTAAGATCTCAGCTGCTGCAGAGAAATTTGAAATTCCACGACCAGTAGGGAGGTTCATAATAACAAAATATTGTCAAATAATTGCTACCTCCGGCTTATCTGTTGTTTCTAAGGTCGAATAGCTACCAAAAAATTTTAAGCTTCAACTCGAATCGCAAACAATCCCCCGACCATGCCCCAATTTGGGCATGAAGAAGTGCGTTTAGTGCTCTAAAAGTGTGTCTGTCTAAATAAATGGTAGGAAAGGTTAATTTCAGTCGAAGTCTCTTGTCTCTACAACCGTTAGTTCTGGCATACCAAATCTTGCGGCGGAGTCGCGAGATCAGCTGCAACTGAACCAAAGTTCGTGGAGACTTGAGACTTGTACTACTGTATTATGAGATTATTTGATAAAAATGGGTCTTAAATCAAATGTTGCCTTCTACCGAAATACCTTGTTCTCAGAGTCATACACCTCAACAACCACCCCCTCGTCCTCTATATCCTCCTCCTCCTCCATCTTCTCCATCTCACTACTTGTACCTGGTCTCAAAAGCTCATCTAGTTGTGTATACAGTTTAGAGAACACGTGGTTCCATATGTTGAGCCTCAGGTTAGGGGAGTGTGTCCTGCAGAACTTCACATCTGCTATACAGCTGAACATTCTGTTGTTCACCAGGTCTTGTAGGTCACATGTGGTAGGGACTAAAAGCTGACTCAACACGGCAACAAGGAACAACATATGGGATGAAAAACGGAGAAAGTTGACAGAGAAATTCACAGCTCACACGAACAAAAAGTATATGAACGTTTTGAGCAGCTCCAAGTTCAAAAAAGGAGCTGGAGCGTGTTACAACTGGATGCAGAAGAACAAGGCACTTTGTGGGATAAAACCTTATTAGAGGGCCGGTAACAAAGGTTTGCAACTTAGATTGAGTAGTATTTTAGGCAGCAGATGTCAGACAATACAATCTAGGCGTGTGTGTAACCAGTCTTTCTGAATACATAAAAATCTTTTTTTTACTCCTTTGTAAAGCTCACAGGTAAGTACTAACTAAGTAATACAATAGTTCGATAATGTGGTTACCATCGAGATGTTTTTTATTCAATACAGTATTGCGTTTTTGGAAGCATTCTCACGTAGGTAACCAGTTGGCTAGTAGGCGTAATAGGGGCACATGTAACACTCTAAATTTGGGTTAATCTATTCTCCTTAAATTACGGAGAATGATACGTTTTATTATTAATGTCAGTCTCTAGAAACATTGAAATTAGACATATAAAATAGTTCCTAAAACAAAGGTAATTCACCGTACTATCATCTAGAGCAATAATTGTCAAGAGTATTATGCATAAAATAATGCCAGATCCGACAAACTCGTTTTACAATACCGTTTTCTAATATTATGATAGTGTGCAGAATATGGCGGTACCTTTTTCATAATTATAAGAGTTAACACAAGGGTACTAGTCACAAAACCAGCTGAACTATGACGATTTAACCAGCCGTTAAGTGACATTAATAACCAATTAAGTGATTATAACGGAGAGTAACAAGCCGTGTCAGCGTGGGACATTACCTTGGGTTGCGGAGACGCTCGTTTTTCAAAGAGAGGAGGATCCCGGGCAGACGAGGGTTTGGGCGAGGGTCGAGGACTGGACTTTCGGGCTTTACTACTGGATTAGGAGGTCAGGGTGAGAACTCTGGTATATTTGGCGGAAGTGAGCTAAAATTAATGTAACCTTGGTCCTTCTCCGAACCCTAACTCCTAATCTTACCAGAGTTCCGGAATCTAAAAAGATTAGCGTACGAACTCGTGGCGTGGTACGTTATAATGCAGGACAGGTTTGATACAAAAGGCTGGTCATATAGAGAAACAGTGCCGTTATAATCTGAGCAACTTCTTAACATTGACAGTGAACTTACCAGGACATGAACTCTTAGGATTGTACACAAGAAGTGAGGGAGGATAAAAAGGAGGAGAGGACTCTGGTACAACGAACACAAAACACCAAACTACCTTACCTGATCTGTTGACACGAGACCAAGGTCACTAGCAAAGAGTCAATGCTGAACGAAGGAGGGCCCCCATAAGGCATAATGACTTCATGCTTCTCTTTAAAGATCCGCTGATTAGCCTACACCTGAGCCATCCACTAGTCCCACAGCCAAGAAAATACCATGTGCTCATTTATAAAAGTATCATGTACTCCTTTATATGGTATAATGTGAGACAGATTGCAGGTTTTTTAAAAGGAATAGTTAATTAGGATTCCAGAGGCCATTGAATGCTCATTATAAAACTATCCTGACGGAGGGGTTCAGCAGTCACTTACTCTTAAAGTCTCATGTTGATTATATGGAGTGGCCAGCGGCAGTTTAAGTAATAATATGAAATTATTTGACTTTATTCGACCTTATGGAAGGCGCTGGTTTTGATACCATAACTTTGAGTGGGAGTTTTTGAGTACATATATTTTCTCATTTACTGCTATAATTTGTTATGTTTGCTCGAGTTTGGTTTCCAAGAATTAATTTCCCGAGAAAACTTTTCCGAGATGTACAATAAAAGTTTATTTTGTATTAAAATGGGTATGAGAATTTGGTAGTCGGGAATTTTCTCTGAATCACGAATAATTCAAACGATGCTGCTGTGTTTTAACTGAACTCTTTTAGTTATCGAATGTGCAACATAAGAACAAGGTATGATGTTTCTCTTAGGTATTCAGGACGATACGATGCTAGCTACTTAAGAATCTAGAATTAGATTCTCTAGGTGCATAATGTTGTTTTTTGTACTCTAGGGCACGCTTTAATGGCTTGAATAATGAATATGCGTATTGTCTTGGGTGCGATATTATTGTCGAAGCGTGCTATAAATACTAGTTATCAATTTAATATTTATAAATACAGAGTGGCCCATAATATACTCTCGAGATGTATTAGTGTTGCAATAATCCGAGCAACAGTAGGATCAGATGACGCTGGAGCAGATGACGTATATATTTAATTCTTGAACGTCTGCCTTTCGTCGTGTACTTCACAAAACAGACACAAAAACATATTAAATAAAACTATTGACCGCCATTTTAAAAATTCAACCCTCAAACATCCAAATTCGTGAAGTACAGCTCGTGGCTGTAATTCACTAAATATAGCCTGTGGTATAAAAACCGATAATTGAGATAAACTGTAAATGTTAACCAAAACCAGTTATTAATATTATATCAAATAAGGGCATGACGTGATCTAAGTTAATGGGAGTTATCCTGTCAAAATAGCTGTACTGATTATCGAACATTTTAAGAGAGATAAGAGAGAAGGAGTTTTCATAACATGGTGATATAAAATATTCTGATGTTTTTTGAAGGGTGAAATTGATCGGTACGATGGATCGATCAGTGAAGAATGTTCGTTATTTCGATGATATTCAGGGGGATGGTAATTTGATCCTTGGCACTAATTCCCACATATTACACTAGATTTGTCACATTTCAACCACAAATTACACAAATCGTTTCAACACGTCAGCCTTCAACGAGCTAACCGTTCTGGATACAAAAAACTTGACTTCCCAGGACAAATTTCTGACTTCCCAGGACTAGAGCAAGTAAAAAAATAACTGAAAAAAGGGAGCAGTTCATCTGTACCGTCAGTAACGAAACTGGGATTTTTAAACAATCAGGCCCTGGGAACTGAAACAAGAGACATAACAACAAGCTAGAACTGAGGAGGCACACAAACACGTTAGACGAGAAACTGAACGCCACGCACGCACACAAAAAGAGAACAGACCGGACACGGAACCCACAATCCAAACATTCCAGGGTTACACTCTCTCTCTCTCTCTGCAAACAATAACACTGACTCTAATGAGATGATGACGAAGGTAGAGAGAGGAAGAGAGCTCTGAGGTGTATATTACAATAGCTGGAGTGCACAGAGGCACACACACAGGGGCCGGGTACACACAGCCTATAATGGTAAAGTGACGTGGTGAGGTCAGAGCTGGAAAAAGAGTGAGATCTTGTGTTCCACGAGGGTTATATTACGCAATATTACATTATAATATTACCACGAGTTCTGTATATTATGTGGAATGTTACACTGTCTACTATAATACCGGGGGTTTGTTGTAGACCCCATCAGAAAAGGTAATCAATAAGTTAGTGTTTCGTACTTGCTGTGGTTTTAAAATTACAAGTTTCAACTCTGGTGACTAATTTTATTGACATTGTAATGCATTATAATGAGTGTATACTAGATGTGTAAAGAGTGTGCAACAAAACAAATTAATTAAGTAATCAAAGAAACAAAAATGAAAGGATCAGAAATAATCAAAGTTTGGCAGATAAACCTCAATTTCTTCAAGTTAGCAGCAAGCAAGAACAACTACAAAACCAAAGCACTCCCAACATCTCTGGCAAAACGTGACATGATTTTCTTGAGCTAAAGAAATCTAAAGGTTAGTAGAAAGAAATTCACCGGAATTTGGAAAGTTGCAAAATCTGAAAATCACATAATAATCAACCGGGTTTACCGAAGAATAAAATGGCTATGATCCAGGTAATGAATGCATTTGTTAATTATCCATCGGAGCAACTTCACAGTTCACACGAATAAACAATTAAACAGCAGAATAAGTTTACAAAATAACAATTTAAAAATTGTGTGATATTATTGGGTAATATTTCTGAAAATTAGAAAACGAACAGAATTAGAATTATGTTGAGAGTCCTCGACAAAAAAACAAGGAGTGATTCGAAAAACGTCTGAACTCTGAAAATCGTGTTTCTGAACGATAGTTGATAACAATAATTACGTTAAGTGAAAATTTGAATTAAGATATAATTAATGTGATAAAAACACGTATACATGCTATTAGAGACACTAAAAACTGACTTCATCAATAATCAAACAATGATAGAACAGTGATCAAGCCAAAACTTATTTTTGGCATGAAAATTACATTTCACCCAATCGAATCGTCAACGTACAAAAACAAATAAACTTCTTACGTAAAACTTTTTCTCATTCTATCAAAAACCTGTAGAGGAACTGTTGTCTACTGGAGAACTAGTGGTGATCATGTGTAAAACGTTCATGATTTGAATAACGATGATAACTGTGCTGTCTAGTCTGAATCCTCTGCAGCATCATCGTCAATATAATCGGAAGCATTGAGCACATGCTTGCTGTTCAATTTCTTCAAGTCTCTGAGAAGAGCCTTCGTCTCGGCGTCCCTCGCAAGACTGAAAGGTGTTTTCCCCTCATTGTTCTTGATATCAGTCTTAGCTCCAGCTTCCAGTAACAGTTCCACTGATGCTGCCTGACTCTTCCAAGCAGCTTGGTGCAGGGGAGTGTCCCCCATTTTATTCTGAACATCGAGCAGTATGTTCATCTGTCTGAGGAGCACCTTCACGCACTCCAAGTACCCCCCAGCAGAGGCCCAATGCAGAGGGGTGCATCCTGCGTAGTCAAGTCCGTTAGGTGACAACTTGTTAGCCAGACAGTCAGTAAGAAGCTCCATGTTACCCCTCTTAGCAGCCTCATGTAGGGGGTTCTCTACTGTCTCCGTGTTCTCCTCCACGTAGTTAGAGGGGATCAGACCTGTTTTCCCTCTCTCGGGGTGCCCAATTCTAGCCTTGTACCACCCTGCTTCTGGTTCTTCTAAAATGTACAGCTGGTCACCCTCGTTAAATGACACCTCGTCAGCTTGTGTCGCTTTGTACGGGTAGATTGCTTTCACTACTTTGAGGATGGAGTTTGGCTTCTTGGGGGGAGGAGGCGCTGGTCTTTGAGGCATTGTGTGCTAGGTTGGTGGGGTTTGGGTCAGTTTGGTGAAGTGATAAGCGCGTGGCAGTCACAAACATCACTCGTCACACAAATGCGATTTTCACTCACGATCACAACTGGATATTTCATACTTTGTATTTTTCAGACATTCAGCCGTTAAGCACACTTTATAACGATAGTTTCCCCTTACCAGAGTTACCACCCTAACAAAAAACACCTGACCACTCACTTAAAATGATCATGTTCGACCCTCAGCAATAATCACAGACTCCAGATGCGATGCACCGTGTGATGCATGTTTATTGTAAAGCCATAAAAACACTAATGGCGGGAGTTCTGATATAGTTTTATTCCCACGATTACTAAATAAAATGGATACCTCAAATGTTAAACAAAACACAGCCCAAGCAGGCAAGCATGTCAGAGCTTACTCAGCTTAGACAAAGACTGCATCACAACCTCGGTATTCCATTCGGATTCATGGCTGCTTGTGCTTTGGTGGATAATTTTCGAACTCTTAGAGGCAAAAAAAAACCTTACCTCGGCATATCTACAGTTCCAGACTATGACAGAACCCATGATCAAAACGTAGGCAAACAGACTTGTAAAGATGCAAAAGAACGAATCAAACCGTACACGACAAAAGAGATCGACTAAGAGCAACACATTTTGATCTCAATTAAACACCCAACACGGTTCTAGCACGCACAGAATGTTCCGGAAAATAATGTGATATGTATGTAAACTTTCGTCATCATGCTTCAAGTTTAATACATATGGTTAAGAAATATGCAACATGTTCACACTCATTCATGACTGAAATGTTAGAATCTAGATTATCATAACATGATTGCTAGGCACTCCAAGAGAGATGATCAGGATTGCATATAATAAACATAAAATTAAAAGAAACTAACAAACCGTATGTCTATATAATATGCTCAAATAAATTTCAGTATAATGATCAAGAATCGCAAAATCCAGGGCTGGGCGTGGTGAGGTATGCAACTAAACCAAGTAATGCACATTTTGTGCGTTATTTATGAAAAGTTAAAAGGTACAGCGGCCCTATAAAGACAGCAGCTTATATATTTTAGAGTACTTCTTCTAATTATAACAATGCCAACCATATTATGCAACCGTTAAAATAAACACGTCATATTTGTAGAAAGAATATCAGTTTAAAAACGCTCATTGGTAAAATGAATAGAATTTAATTGCGATAGCTGGAATGTGAACTAAAAAAGTAAGAGCTCACTGCTGGCCTCGACAACTAATGAATACTGACGTGAACTACCTGGTGTCAGAAACAAGAAAGTCAAAAACCAAAATCCAAAAACCATGCTCTTGAGATGGTTATGGGTACTTTATATACAGGTCAAAACAGTGAACACAATAGCTGATACACGTCACCTTAAAAACAGAGCAGAATAGATACTTAAAGAAATGAAGTAACAGTCCACACACTCACACACACACAGCCGAATATATGGCCACAAGAAATAGAGTTAGAACGTAAAACAATAGCCAGACTCACGGAGTAGAATGTATAACACAGTATCAGATTACAGCTCCTTCCCTCTTACAGATACTCGGCTCTGTGTGTGACGTCACACATCGTACACCGGAACGTATGACGTCATCAGCGTTATGTGGTGGAGAATGTGCCAACTAATGTGGAGAAAATGTACGGATATATATGGAATGTGTGTGTCACGTCAGAGAATATGCAGAGCAAAATCTAAAAATCACATAACACTGCTCTCACATACGTTAACAAACGAAATAAGCACGCCGCACAATGAAAGAGATTCACACACACGCAAACATTCCTACATGACCACTAGGAAGTGAATTCCGTGTAAAGTGGATTACATTACCCTGCATAATATATTACACACTGTGTGTTGCACACGTAAGAGTTGCTAAGGTACACACGAAAAGTAAACAATCGCACGTAGCATAGCCGCATATTATATAATCTGCGGAATGAAGACACTTATCATGATGATATGGTGAAATGTCAAATATTCAGATATGTTAAATATGCAAATATCATGTAATTCCGTACACGTAAGCTTTTTCTGTTAAAATCACCGGGTACATTTTCAACACGGAGGGATTCCTTCATGATAATGAAAAAGTGAGTAACTAAGTCATAAGTACGAACTGTAAAGAAAACCAATCTAATGAACTGCAAATCTGAGTTCGGTTTTAAAACTCAACATGATAAAATTAAACATTACATCACGTTTCAACAGTTAGCTTCATCAAAGGCTTTTCCAAAACCAATAAAACGTAATCAGTCCACGTAAGACTAACTAAGAGGTTCAATACAGAGCTAGCTGAGTTATAAAGTTATAGAGTAGAGCTATAGACTATAGAGTTAGTTGATAACAATATATAATAACTAAACATTGATTATACATCGCTCTATATTTTATGAATAAAACTCATATCTACTGATTTAGCTCAAGCCATCTAAAGCGACTCGTGGACGCGTACATAAGAACTAAGAATTGTATGAGCCATGAAATTATATGTGAAAGTTATATGAAGACCGTTCATAAGATGTTTAAAACAAAGTTAGTTTAGTGTGAAGTGTGATGTGAAGTGAGCAGATATATTGAGTACTGTGAGAAGCGTACAATGTGTAGAGTGTACAATGTGTAGAGTGTACAATGTGTAGAGTGTACAATGTGTAGAGTGTACAATGTGTAGAGTGTACAATGTGTACTGTGTAGAGTGTACAATGTGAAGAGTACAATGTGTAGAGTGTACAATGTGTAGAGTACAGCGCAGTGTACAAGTGATGTGAGTCGAAATTCAGTCTCCCTGAAATGATATATCCAGGTATCAGATTTAAAACTGCATCTTAAATCTAAAAGATAAAAATTATTTTCAACAGTTGCTAACATTTTCTTGCTTTCATTAGAAATATTACAATAATTTTAAAGCATGAATTGTGATTAAGAAAGAAATAGCAATTAATGAATTCAAACTTAAATATTAGTTTAATGAAAAAGAAGAATTTATTATGACGTTTAAACACAGATGTAAAATGAAATCGATAATACACGAGAA